TTGTGAAATATGTTGGTTGGAGTTTATGTGTCTTTATACATTGATTACATTGCTTGATTTGCCATGTATTTCTCTGTGACAGAGTTGAGAGATGCCATGAGGTACGGCAGATGCTGTGAAAGCTGCAGCTCCCAAAGAATCCGAAGAGCTGGCTACAATGATGCGAAAGGACTGGACCTTCACCTTTTCACTTCCAGCCTTTTTGCATGTGTCGACGTCTTGTATAGTCTTGTCAACGTCTTGTATAGTCTCTTTTTAACAACGAAGTTGGTCCTTTTTGGACTCGTTTTGCACGTTTAAGTTTAGGTCGACCTATATTGTGGTCAGCTGCCCTCCAAGTCTCTTCCCACTCTGACACACTTGGCATTTTGTCTCTTCTCATCTCCGTCGGCCTCTTTCCGACCGAGTCCAAAGGAAAGCGCCAGAGCTACACCCACGCCTTCCCGCGAGCGAACCAAGCCTATGGCGCTGAAGAACCAACCAAGCGACTCCAAACCTCGTGGACGCCTTAAGGATGGAATGTGTCTCTCTCGTGTTGGAGCCGTCCCATAGTCAGTCCAGCCGCGCGTGCGTGAAGAAGAAATGCGGAAGTTCACTCCGGTTGTGGAGTCTTCAACAATGACGTCGTGACCTCTGAATTTAGGATCCCTCAAGAAGTCATTTCTTAAGGTGAAGTGATTGTCAGCTGCCGTGTCTCGGATCTCTTGGAAGACCTGTTCGCCACCTCCAGTCCAGTCGGCTTGGGCGTGGCGGTCTAAGGTGCTGGGCGAAATTGGGAGGAGAGACCGGAGACCGACGCTCGTTGCGCTCTGCTTGTGAAAAGACATTTCTTTGGGAGGATCACCTTGTTGGGATGGGCTGCAGGTCCATCCAATACCAGCCAAACTGGAGAATCACACGTCGACATAGTTTCATTCTACTGTCTACTCTATGTTTCAAGAGAATTCGGGCTCCGTGTGTTTGTGTTTCTACTCGGCACGAGTCTCTACATGACATATCCCGATCTTCGTCTCTTGGTGCCGAGTCTTACTTCGGTGCGTTCGAGGAGATCGACCTGTTGCCCTGGAGTCGGCAGACATTGAAACGCCTATTGGATGGTGGGGGACGCTTAGAAGTCCCGTGGGCGCCGTGGGCACGCGCCCACCCTGGGGCGGGGCCACGATGTCGTGGGGGTTTGGTGGGCATCCTGGAACCAGCAAGGGCGCAAGGCGAGGTGCTGTTCTTATGTCGACTCATTCAGTTGGCGTTCTTCTTTAGTTTTGTATGGTTAACCAGCAGGTCAACGTAGTTCACCACACATGAAGTTTTCAATCAATAGAGATCAAAACTGATCAAACATATCTATAAAAGAAGCAATATAAAGGCTCTTTAACTTCCACAGAAGGATTCATTCGGCTGAACAGAAGAGAGACACATCAGCTCAGGTGCCGCAGCACGAGAAGGGCTCCCACCGCTGCGAGTCGACTTTGAAGATGCAGGCGATGTCGCTCCGGGAGCTCAAGCAATCCAACTCGCTTGTTCCACCACGATGGGCAGGGGTGGCTATTTGAATAGGAACATTTGGGTGGCTCATGGGTGTGAAGACCCGATCTGCGCTTTTGTTCTTCTATAGTGATCAAACCACCGTTCCTGCACTCGAAATCCCCACGTCGGACCGGGAAATCCCCGAAACCGCCTCGAAAAGCATCGGCGATGTGTGGAGAATCGTGGTAGGCCACGTGGAAGTCTCCGGCGTCCAAGAGATCGATGGCTTGGCGTCCTTGTGGCCCAACCAAGGACGCGGTGGACGCGGTGGGCATCGTGCGTGCGTCGCGGATCGTGCATCGGTGACACCACGTGTGTTTCTTGAGTCGAGAGAGGTTTGGCGTGGCGGGCGGGTTTAGAAGCCCGGCTTACCGGCGGGGGGGAGCATGACCAGCGGTTGGTGGTGTTTTTAAGAACCTGTACCACACGTGATCACAGGTGACATATGCTGCCGACACCTGTAGCTCAAACAAAGCCCCGGCTGCATATCCCCCATTGAAGCCAACCAGTGGTGGAAGAACCACTCGACTCATGAAAGGTGCGATATGTCTTCTCCTTGGAAGTTGATGAAGTTGTACGAAGTTGTATATATGGACGTTGTATATATGGACAATATGGATGTCTATTTACATGTGGATGATCCTATACCTGTATAGCTATTACTATAGGCTATATTAGGAGTATTGAGCACCCATCCATTGCCACCAAATCTGATTCTGGGGTGGATCTGAGGAGAAAGGCGCCATCTCTTTGATCTTTCCTTCGAGGCCGGCGATTCTCCGCTGGTCAAGACTTAAGGCCAAGCGGCCAAGCGGTTGTGTTTATACCTGATCTTCCACCTATAGGTAGAGTTTTTATACACTTTTCGTTTTCTGACTGGTTTTATATACACGTTTGAAGGCATCATTATATTTTTGGCATTGTTGGAAGATCTAGGTAGGCTCTCAACGCGACCCACCACCCCCTCGACATGTCCGGACGACATGTCCTCGGACTTCTCCTGACCAGGTGGTCTTTAAGGCCGTTTGGCCCTCGGACTTCTCGATGATGTCCATGGAGGGCTCGGTCTTCCTTCACGACTTCACCAGCAATCTGGTGGACGATCCGGAGGTGCCGGTTCGCGTTCGTTCGCCGTGGTAGAAAGCGCGTTCGACGCATAAAAAAGGCGTTCGATGAGTAGACTGGAGCACAGGACACCAAAGACAGCCCTGTGCCTGTGTGGTCGATCTTACAAGTGATGCGGTGGACAGTCCTGCTGAAAAGCAGGATGGTCTGTGAAGATGTTGAAAGACATGTTTGCCGAATGATGGCTTTAGTATTTAGTCCATGAAACCGAGGCTTTGTTGGAACCGCCGTGAAATTCGCGCCGCTTCCGTTGCGAACGCGCTCACCCAGGCCGTCTGTGGCATGTCAGTGAAATTCGCTGCGCAGAGCGAGTCTTGCCTCGATGGGCCCTGGAGCTCAGTGATGCGGCACGTTGCACGTTGGGAGGTTTGGGCGTTGGAGATGTGCGCTGTCAGCAAGTCTTCTCAAACTTGTGGTTGTTTCAACACAGTCCCAACACTGCAAAGTAGGGAAGTGCTTTGGAACAAAGAAAGAAGCTTGAGGCTTGAAACATAAAGAAGAAGCTCGTGCAAACGTTAGCAAGTTTTGATAACATTTGACTCATGCATGCAAACCTATTTCAGTAATATATATATATATATTAACATATATATATATATTATTTTTTTATATGTTTAAAGTTATTCATCCTCCCTCAGATGAACTTTGGAAGCAGAGCAGGCCTAGGCCTATAATTAGTTAGTGTGTTGAAAAATGCATTACCCAAGTGGGTCGATGTTCCCGCAATCCTTTGAAGGAATAGGGTGGGTCTCAGTAGTTGAAGGTTGATGACTGTGATAGGGTACAGTTCTATTTTTTGTTTTTGTACTCCTTTCTTAAGATGTTGTTCACTTGGATGTGTATTTCGTGTTCTTTTTCCACCCCCAACACCATGCCACCGACCGGCGTGAGGACGACAAGCCACCAGCTTTTCCACCGCGGAACGCCACGCCACCGAGGCCGCGGAAAGCCATGCAGAGCACCGTCCTTCCGACCTCCCGAGCTTTGATCCTCGTTGGGGAGACCCAGCGGCTTCAGCGTTGGTGCGTGTCGGCGTGCGTTTGGCGTCTGCGAAGGGTGGCGTGAGGCGTGTGGGTGGCAGCTGAGTTGTCGTGAAACACTTGCCGGTGTATCTCTTTTCGATCAGTCCGTTGTGAAAGACAGAAAGAAAGACATTAGAAATGAAAGAACATGAAAGAAAGAAAGAACGACGAATGAAAGAAAGACAGACATAAAGAAAGAAAGAACGGGATGCAATGTGATGATGTGAACGCAGGAAGCTCTGGGGGCAGACGCTTGGTCCATCGCCCGAGGCAGGGGGGATGGTCTTTTGAGAGGACCTTTTTGATGTTTGTTCAGTCTGCGTCTCAGATGGGCGTTGTTCAAAACTATGAATAGATATATATATATATTATATATAAATTAATATAGATAAAGTGTGACAGTATTTGGATGCTTTTGCAGTCATCCACACAGTGCACACATATGAATCCGTGAAACGGGGGAAAGAAACGGTGCGTTCGATGATCCATGCAGGTGAAGGGTTGATGCACTTGGTGCACCTTCGACTGCGACGCTTTGCGCAAGACTTCGAAGCCAAGTGACGGAGAGGGCGATCGCAGTGACGGAGCCCGGAGTGACTGTGCATGGGAGAAGGAAGGAGAATAACATGTATAGAATGTGCACATAGACAGCCAAAGCTGTCCAACACGTCATTGTACAAAAGAACCCGTCATTCTGCATGGATTTTGCGAGGCTCTTGCCTTGCCGACGTGCAAAACACGGACCAAAGGCTCGCCTTGGATGGCCCAAAAGAAGGCCTTCCTTGTAGGGGCCATCTCCAACTTTCGGACCAGCGAAAAGGGAGCCGATGTCACAAGGGAGGGAGCGGGTGATGGTGACATCGGATGGTGACAGCGAGTTGGCATTTTGGATGCCACCTGCTTGTAGAGAAAAAATTGCCTTCCACTGAGCCAATTTCCCAGCGCATTCACGTCAGTCCCTCCCGTACTTCAGTCTGCCTCCACGGACTGCGCAAGCTTCGCGCTTGAACACCCAAGGCCTGCCTTGATGACCAGACCGGCTTGGACAAAAGAGCCCAGTCGCGGTGCTGTGGGATGGGGCGCCGGCGCCGCGTCTCGGAGCGCCACATGATGATGTTCCAAAAAGGCGCCGGCGTGCTCATGTGCTCCATGACTCCTGCAGCCATTGGCTGAAACATGAGAGTTTGATGTTGGCTTCACAAGGGAATCATTGAGTTGGAGGCAGCCATGTTTCATTTTTTGGTCAGTCATCATGAATGCCTTGGACTCTACACTCTTCATGTTGGCATGCAGTCCATAGACCAAAAGGTGTCCAAGCAACATGCCAAGGTTTCACTTGCGCATACTTGAAAGCAGGTTAGCCATGGGTACCATGGGCTCTCAGCCCTTCCGTGCACATCTTTGCTTGAGCGCCCTGGTCACCCTGACCTTGGCCGACCACTGTCTCCAGTTGCTGCCCTCCACCGCAGCCGCGAACCACCGCGCCATCCGACAGTGTCTGGACTCCGAAGGCGTGGCGATCCTGGGCCCGGGCACCTTCCTGCTGCCGCACGGCCTCCAGATGCCGCGCAACTCGTCGCTCCTCGGAGCAGCCGGGCGGCTCTCGGAGCTGCGCCTGGCGGCGCCCACGGCGATCACCCACTCGTTGCTGGAGGTGTCCTCGGAGGCGGAGGTGCAGTCGTTGGTGCTGGAGGTCGGCGGCCATCAGCGAGATGCCAGTTGCTGCAGGAGTGTGATGAGTTTGACTGGTAACAATTCTCAGGTGAGCGACGTGGAGGTGAGGGGTGGCAAGGGCGGCATAGGTATTTTGTTTGAGAGCCCAACGTCACGGAATAATGTCGTGTTGAAGGCACATGTTCATCACTGCTATTATGGTGTGGCATTTGATGCTGGCCTGCGGTCCAATCAGAAGAATTCCATTGAGCAAAGTATTGTTGAAGACATTTCCTGCGATGCAATAACCTTTGCTGGCTTTGGACAAGTCAAGAGCACTACGATTCGCAACAGTGGCTTTGCTTGTGGCCCGCCTTCCTTCAGTGCCGGTGCTGGATTCTTTTGCAAGGGCAACAGCCACGGGGCACAAATCGAATCATCAGTCGTTTCAAACACCTGCGGAATGGCACTGGATGTCGATTCATGTTCACACATGGAGATCCGAAACAACACCTTCCGCGATCCTGGCTATGACTTTGACAACCTGACACACTGCTGGGGCATGCCCACGGCCGTTTTATTGGATTCTCAACGGTGTTCTTTGACCTTCAACGTCATGGAGAACCTTCGCACCTCCAATCAGATCCGCTGGTTGGGGGATCCGCACCAGGTCTACAGCCAGGTGGCAGCGCCGCTCTTCTCGGATCTACCGGACAACAACCGCAGCGTGGTGACCTTTGGACTACTCCATCGACCACACCACTGGGCCGTACCGACGATCCAGAACGAGATCGCCAACAACTCCTTCTTCGCGCGCTGTGAATCCGGCGGGTTTGGTGGATATTTTTTGTTGGTGGCGGTTGAGCTCCCATGTTTTCAGGCCGGTTGAAGGGTATATGATGGGATCCGCAACTTTTTGGGGGAATCTGGGGGGATAAACGATGGGAATACAGGCTCCAAACCAAACTGGAGACATAAAGAGCAATATGTTGGCGGACATCCCAAGTGGTGACGTTTGTAGGTACAGTATTGTGCTTGACCATGCTTGATCATAAAGCAGTCTTGGCAAAGAACAAGAAGACAAGAAGGCTTCTCCAGGGTCGCATCATGTTATTTTTTGCTAGAACCCATCCAAGGTGATGAGAACAACTGCACGGGCGTGGGCTACTTTGTAGGCCGCGGCACCGGGCTGGAACGTTTGCGAGCTCCAGGTCACGAGTGGGGCGAGCGCCTGCCGCAGCAACCCTCAGAGTTCAATGGCAACCTGGTGAGCACCAGCAGCGATCTGAGCGACATTGGTTCCGTGCGCTGTGGTGAGAACCACTATGCTCCGACGGCGTCGGTGTGTCCTGGAGAGTCGGACTTTCCGTGTAATGAAGATGATTATTTGCATCCTCAGGAGAACTTTCGAAGCTGAGCTGGTTGAAATGACAAGGCTGAAACCTTTTCTTTTGGAGACCCATCAATGCAAGGCGAAATAGATGTCAAGACAACTTTAGACATGTTCGGATTTCTATTGGCAGGATCATTTGGACTCAGTAAGGAAATGATGATTGCAGAGACTACATTTCTGATGTTCATGCCTTGGAGAAGTTGGCAGAGCTCGGGCAACTGCGACATCCCTTGCCTTTGAAATCGGAAGAGCTCTTCGAACCCTCACGGGCACCTCCTGCTCCCTCCATGGTGCCTCGTGCACCGCGTGAAGATTGGATTGACACCGGAAGCCAGGCTGAAGGAATGTCGTTTCACTTTGGCTGAAAAGACGTGTGAGATTGATCTTGGGGTGGTTGGATGGATAGGGCTATGCGGATAGCCGGATAGCCGGATAGCCCAGCTGATGCACTCACATTAGATGGGTGCAAAGAAGAAAACACCCTTTGGAACCGCTGGGACCTCTCTATGTTGTCTTTGCATGTTTGCGTTTGTTTGTTTCAAGCGACCTATGTTGCCCGAACACACATCATTCCTTCTTGGCTCAAGATTCTCACCGTATGCTGCTGCTAACCGGGGCCATAAAAGTGGCCCCGTTTCTTCGTGAAGCTTTCCCACTTTAACTTCAACAAGGTTCTTTCGTTCCCTTAACCAAACTCAGAAACCACATGACTTCGGAAACCAGTCGCATGACCTTCTTTCTTCTATATAAGAGTCCTATAGAGTCTATAGAGCTGCTACCCTCAGTTGCACGCAGCCAAGACGGCTGCCAAAGTGGAGGCCGGTTGTGGGAATATTTTTGTTCCTTAAAGGTCATTTCTGGGAAACAGAGCCTTGTAACAAGCTTTCAGGGTCAAGAAAGCCTAGCTGGGAGTCAGACTCGGCTGGACATTCTTGACCACAGACCAGAAGTAGACGAACAGTTGGAGACAGGGGGAACGACAAAGTTTTGGAGGATTGAAGATCTACTAATCTACAGCTCTTCTATGTTTTTGTGCCGTGAAAGCGTGTGCCACACCACAGGGTTGCAGCAGAAATAGTATATGTATATATATATATATACTTGTTGTGTTCATGTCCTCAGTTCCTATTTTTCATGCAGTTGTATGCAGTTCCAGCCATATCCCTAGCCTACATCAACTTGCCTACATCGTTGGTGAATTTCAGAACCTCGTTCCATGCCAAGAGGTTTCCGAGTCTAGATTTGCCCAGCACAGGTTAAAACAGCTGGTAGCATTGCTTCAACATCATTCACTGATGCTTGCGATGCTTTGTAAGAGGTATGCATGATCGGCATTTCCAGCAACTACTTCACTTTCACAAGTACCTCTCCAATGAAAAAAACACACCCCCAACTTGCCCTCGGCAGGTCCAATGGCTTCACCACCCGAGGACGCCGAGTGACGTACGACGCACGACGTGCGCACGACGCTCGACGCTGGGCCTGGCAGCCGTGTCTGACACGAATCGCAGGTTTATCGCAGGTCTGCAAGGCCCTTTTTGAGGTAATGAGGCGTCTGGGAGAAACACCGGGACGGGAGCACCAGTACGACCATCATCGTTTCGTTCCTTGACCTGACGCGACGATCTCTGTGGGGAGACCTGACGAAGTATCACTGTCTGCAGACCAGTTGGCTCAAACAGACCTGTGACAGACAGAAGAACCAGTGATAGAGACTTCACTGAAGAGTTGGTCCTTCTTAGAAAACCATCCGCAGGCTCCTTCGCAGCCGCATCGCTAGCGCATCGCCATTCAAGCCGATTGAACGAGGGTCGTTGACTTGTTCCGATTGAACGAGGGTCGAACACCTGTCTCAAAAAACCTAGGTGTCGACCATGTGCCGACCATGACAATGTGTCAGAAGGGAACGAACGAAAGCGTTCAACATCCACCCGTTCGGGTTCCGAGGCGTTCAACATCCCAAGCCCTTCAGCCGGTACCTGGATGGTGGTACCTGGATGGTGGTACCTGTGATCCAAAGCATCACACCAATTGAGAGCATTATCAACCCCCCCCAAAAAGGCAAACCCTACGGTTCTGGGTGTTTTAGATCAACATGAACACTTGAGCGCTGATGCAAAGTTCTGATCTTTTTATCGATCAGACTCCAAGATCCAGCATGGCTCTGCAGAATGTTTCCAAACTGCTCAGCCAGCGACTCAGAAGGTCAAAGCAACGAAGCAAGATCTGAAGAGCAACATGAAGCAAAACGAGGCAACACGAACATGAGCAATCGAACGTTTGCTGACAGCGTGACAGCAGATTGGGTAGACCTACGGTTGATGGACCTGCAGATTTTCCTGCGGGGAAGATTTGTATATCCCCTAGTCCCCTAGAAGTCCAGTTCGACATATATTTGGCACCAGCGAAGTAGAGGAAATTCCTTTTCGGGTCACCTGCATTCTTAAACTAGTCTTGGACTTACAGGGTATCATGGATGCAAACTGCTTTGGGAGATTTCAGGTGTTGTTTGAACAGTACGCTTTGCCGAACCAGATGTGTTGCACGAAACCCAAGGCTGACCTGGTCCAAGTGCTTTCTCCAGTCAGAGAGGGACACGAGGAGATGCCTGGCTGTGTTACGCAAAGCCTGTCTCGACATGCAGTTCTCTGCGAGAGTGGCCTCCGTGGCGCAGGATCCTTGGATTGATGATGAAACGCATTCTGCCAGTGGCCTCAGCGTTCCAAGCCTTCGTTTCACGGAGCTTGGAAGATTCAGCAGATCATGTGGGCGAGAGAGAGGACCCTTCCAGCTCCCAGCCACCTCCAAGAGACCGACTCCTAGAGGACCTCTCCCAATCTTTTTTGATCCGTTCAACTTCCAAGCCACCTGTAGACCCTACGTGAGGAAAAACACGCTGTGTAGGTCCTGAGCCGGTTCGTCTGGTTTCTTCAGCCCTGCCGCGAACGAAACGCGTCCAACGACCACGGCCCCGCCTGCGTTCCAGCGCAGCGAGGTCTTGGAGCGACGTCCAAGGGCCACGGTGGACGACAAGTTTTTGTTCAGGTGCCAAGATGCTCCACCTGCTTTTTTTGGGGTTCAGGTCACAAGCTACGCAGGACCAACAAAACGCTTCCACAAAAGACTCACAGCCGGCCTCATCAAGCGCCTGCCCAGTAGCAAATAAGGGCAGCAAAGCGCAGCAAAGCGCAGCAAAGCGGTTTCCAGGTGTGAGGATGTCCCAGCTGTGAGGATGTCCCAGGTGAGGGACCCTTGTCAGATGGTCCTTGTCGGGTCCTTGTCGGTGTTGGATGGTTTTTATCGGTTCTCTCGTGACTTCATGGGTCATGGGCTGTGCATGGCATCCCTGGATATCCTCCGTGGGTTGACCTGCCTGTCCGGTGGTCTATTTCTGTTCATCCACTCGGTGGGATGGGAGAGAAAGCCCACAGAATCCACAATCTTGCATGCGATTTCATCATGCTTCAAGTGGCCAAACCCCTGCGGCCGTGGAGCAGCGAGGTCAGCCGTTGACTCCTTTGTGCTTCGCTTCATTTTGCCGCTGACCCTTCAAACATAAAAGCCTGAAATGAATAGGAACATCCCCTTACAGTCGATAGTTAATTTTCATTTTGACATCATGTTGACATGTCCACTTCCATGTTCCTTGACATGGTGGTTCATATCCATCATTGACATCCAATTGAAGACCCTTCCATTCGCCAGGCGGGCGATCTGGTCTTGGCACCGCCGCATCGTGCGGCGCCTGCGGGCCGTGCCGCCGCCGAACCGGCCACCGTTTCGGCAGTCAACGTGCTAGCGTCCCGGCGTAGCGTGGCAGCTTGTGCTGCTGACATTCCATGGGGCAGCTTGTTGTTTTCATTTCTTTTTGTTGACTCCGTATCGCGTGCGTGTGGGCATGGCGTTGGCATGCTTTGGCTTCTCTGTTCTTTTTTCATTATTTTTTCATGCCAGGCTCCTTCGCTTTGGAGTGGAAGTGCTTCTACTCCTCCTGGTTTTGCTGCAGATCTCTTACCTGGTCATACTTCACTCAGTCCGAGCCCCAGCCCACCGAATCACCGCTTCTGCTGAATCCCACCGCTGCCGAGGCTGTGTTACCTCCAGCGATGTCCGCGCTGCTCGGCTCGCAATCTGATGATCCTCCCAAAAAGCACGTCTCCGAAACCCCTGGTGGACAGCCAAAAGATTGAAACGATTGCAAGACCCTGTGCGACACCCCAAAAGTTCAAGACGCTCCAGCCCAGCCCACCATGTGCGACGATGTGCGGACCTGTTCGTGCAGGTCGGGCCAAGTTGCACAGGCTTTGACTTCTGCTTTGTACACAGGAGAGGGTTGCTCATCAGTCTTCAGCTCCAAAGCGCCCCAAACCGCTCGTGTTCATATTTTTTGCCGCAGGACATTTCAGCAACGTGAGCCAGACACCCAATGTGATCAAGCGTTCTTCTCTTTGCTCCTTGCGCTCTGTCACTCTCCCCCAAATCGTCCTACTTCAGCGTTCCGAAAAAAACGGCACGACGGAGTCCGAGTCGGCGTGGAACGGCCGAACGCACGCCGACCCGAGTCGAGGCCGCGACGCGACGGAGCTGCTGGTGGTGGAGGTGGCCTTGCCATCCAGGCGCAGACCGGCCGCCGATGTGGCGTTTGGCGAAGCGTAGACCGGCGTAGCGGCACTCCACGGTGGTGGTGGCTTTCTGAAGTGGCCAAATAGAGGGAAGAAGGCTATTCTGAATGCATGCGGCATGAATAATAGTGGGATTGATCAATTTGAGATGTATAGATTGACTTATATGATCCTTTCGTAATTGGTGCACTTCATAATAGTGGGATTGACTCCTATGTATTTCTTCTGTGCATTCGCCTCTCCTTTGGTCACCCGATCGCCAGGTGCGGGAGTTCCGCCTCTGGCGAACGAGAACAGGCGGCGGGAGGGAGTCGTCGGTGCGTTTTTGGTCCGAAAAAAACCGTGATGGGAACGAGGGCAGGTGCAAGTTCACGGTCGTCCCAGGTTCGCTGCGAGTTCGCGTCCGACCGAGAAGTGCTCAAGTTGCCCTTGGAGATTCGCCAAAGTGGCGGAGCTCAGCTGTGGGTGCTGGCATACCTGAGGAAACTCGAGATCGTGATTAGGTATTTATAGGGCCGTTTTCGGTTACAAGTGGATTTGATGCAACCACTTTCGGTGCTGTAAAGCATATGTAGCAATGGCCATGAACAGGAATTTATGATTTTGGAGGTTGGAGGAGCGTGAACACTTGCTATGACAAGAAGAGGCATTAAGATCATTAAGCAAGTTTCCGCTCTGGTTCATTTGTTGCCATCCTATCCAAAAATTTCACCATTTGGCATGGCTGGGCATTAGCTAGGGCATTAGCTAAGGAAGATGGTCCCGACGTACTGGGTGGTTCCCCCAGGTGAAGAGCTTGGCATCACTGGCATCACCGGATGAAACGCCTCTGAGGTGCGCTCCTAGCGGCTGCCGAACAAAGTCCAGGCGCAGCCGAGCGAGCCGAGCGAGCCGTGCGAGCCTGAAGGCCTTGGTTTCAACGTTGGGAAAGACTCCCTGCAGGTCAATGACCTCGTGAAATACTGGAGTTGGTCATACAAACACACGACTCGTGTGGAGGGAATGGACCTGGGTGTTTGACTGGACCAACGTGACTGACTGTCTTTCTCCAAATGGTCGGAGATGACCAACGTGGGAGTGAACCTCTTCGGTGCTCAGGCGTTCGCCAGGGCGGGCGGCCTCGTTCCTCTTGATGCCATAAGTTGTAGAGTTGATGATAGGTGATTTGTCACCTCTGGGATTCCAGTCTTAAACAAATTGCTGTTTTAGCATATTCCCCGGAAGTTGAGTTTGACAATCAGGCCATCCCGCTCTAAAAAGCAATCATCAATCATGCAATTTATATACTTATAATAGTCTTTGACTGGAGAATAGGGACGTATTCTTTTAGATCCCAGGCCTTGTAAACCACCACCCATTCCTGGACTCCAAGAAAGACCTGTCTGCAGACCATCGCGAAACCGACCGACGCGCGCCGACCGACGCCGACCGTGGCCGATGCCAGGACTGACCGCCGTTGTGACTCTGCCGGCGAGCGACTTGGACCTGGACTGGTCCACCCGGCGAAGCCTTGGACGGCGCAGAGGGGGCGGCCTCGGCGCCGGCGCTGGGCGGTTTTCTCGAACCGCGGTTTGGTCTGGTGGGGACTGGCAGAGCTGCGCATCAAAGTGCCGGTGTGTAGCTGGTCAGAAGCAACGGATGGATGAGGGGGGGGTCACCCACCGTGGTGGCCGTGACATGGGCTGCGTCAGGGTTCGCATCAGAGAGAAGGGTTTCTGAGATGTTTGATGTTGATGTCCTGCCAGGCCTTCGCACGGAACGTGGGTCCGACGCCCAGCAGGTGTCGAAGTCGAAGATTCCAAAACACCGGTCCAAAAAGGACCACCTTCTTGGGACCGATCGGGTTTCATGGAGGGACCCAGGGACCTTGAGTCGGCCAGATGGGTCGCAACATGAGTGAACGTGCTCAAGACGGGGGACACCGTAGGAAACCTGACCGTCCAACTTGCCATGATCCTACTGGCGTTTTTTTACATAGCCTCCCCTCTTTTGGAACATGTGAATGGCAGAACACCTTTGCAATATTTGGCCCATAGACCAATTGCTTAGAACACCACCTACATCCAGCCTAGAAGTCCAAAGACACTATACTTGTATACTTGGTGAAGTAGAGGACATTCCCTCTACTTCAACCATTCTTCTTATAGTCCTCGCCCTGGGTCCACCTGTTTTCTCCACGTTTGCACCGCCCAGGCGCGGAGTATCCTTCAGCGCTACGTGCTCAGTGCGATGGTTGCCGGGCCCTTGCGAGAGGAGGTGCGACCGACGCTGGGATCATTTGCTTTAACCATACCAGGACCCGACACCGTGGGGTGTCTATTTATAGCCCCTTAGCTGTTAAGGGTTGTCCATTAACCACCCCGACTGGGGGTCCTGGTAGATTCATACGTTTTGACTGTCGAATCTGTTGATTAAAAGACACACCCCTATGGTTTACATTGGTTTACTTGGTTTACCTCTCCAGGCCTGGAGGGTTAAAGTTCCTCAGCAGTCCACACTACAGGGTTCCTGTTTCCAGGATCCTCTTGGTTTTCTTGGTCTTTTCAGGATCTTCTTGGTCTTCTTGGGTCTTCTTGGGTCTTCCAGGCTTTTCCCAGCTTCGAATCTGGATCGACCCCGTCGCCGTCCGCTCCTGCGGGGTCGCGTCGTCGGGTCCCGTCAGGTCCTGCGGCGCGAGCCCTTCTTTACCACGCCCAACAGCACCGAGGCGCCTGGGGTTCGATGCCAGACGTCCCGTCGAGCCGTTTGGGTTGACCATGACCTCCTCTCTCCCCGTTGACCGGGTTACCACGTGAGGGTTGGATCGCCTCCCAACCACCAAAAAGGAAGCCTCCCATGGGTTGATCTCCAAGCGCCGTTTGGGTGGACCATTCCAACCGACCCCCCTCCCAAGCCGTCCAATGGTTGGACGCCTTCGTTCGCCCAGGGCAACGCCTCCGACTTGACGACGAAGTCCGCGAAGTGGTCGCTGTTGGCCTGGGGGCTGGCCGAGTTTGGACTAGGTGCCTGGCCGGTGAAAAACGCTGCCAACTGAAAGCACTTGAATGAAGACATGTTGCTGCAGATGAAAAGGCAAGATTGCTAACACATGGATGTCACAGCAGACCTCAAATTATGGACCTCAAACAGAGGAAACAGGCCTCAAAAATTGGCAAAGCTGCATGGCCGTGCTGTTTGCAGGCGTTGGCAACGCGAGCAAAGCTGGAAGCCACGCCTTGTCCTACTTTTCCTGTGAAGGCACTTTATTTTTTTACTATCTGTGTTGCCTTTGTTCTAGAACATAGGAACCCTGACTCCTTTCGCCCGTATGGCACACCAGTTACGGTTCTTGGAATGTGTACATGTACCATTTTCTTTCCATCCATAGTCCATCTATAGAGAAGATGCCTTCGTTTTGGGCCGATCCGTCCAATTTGACTGCGCTTTTCGAAGCACGTCAGGCGAGTCTCCCATGTCTCTTTCTGCGCTGCGGCGCCTGGCGGAGCTGGTCGACAGGCGGGGAACGGACGGAACGACGAGACGAGGAGACGGGCAGGTGGTCCTGGACTACCCCACACTACCTATAGGCTTCCAAACAGGGCAGCCCGACAGGAGGGTCCTGGTAAACATGGAGCAAATACGAATTGAATATGAAACGGACATATCAATCTATATTGATGCCGAAAAGCATGGGAACAGAGGAGGGTGGACCTTCAAAAACCCAGACGAAGGAGTTCATTCATGCAAGACCCCCAAAAACCCAGAGCTTTCTCTCTACCAGGCATCAGTTCGTTGAAGGGGCTTCTGTTCCCAGGGGCCAGACTCATGCCCACTGCCCACTGCTCTGTGGTGAAGAAGAAGACGGTGTGAGACTCACCGGGTGAGATCGGTAGACGGCCGTGACCGTAAAGCACGGCCGGGTGTCGGGTGTGGTGGTGGTGTGGTGGTGGGTGGTGGTGGTTTCAGGCCGATGGAGTGGTGGCTCTTCAAAGTTGTTTGGCTCTTCAGCACCGCGGTGCTGGGGCTGCTGGTGGCGGTGCTGCAGTGCTATGCGGTGCGGACCTCCTTGCGAGGGCCTCGGGGAGCGTTTCGTAGGGAGCGAGTCTTTGGAGACGACACGAGGATGGTGAGAGACCATGAGGGCTGGGGGTGGAACTATACTCTACTATCAAGAATGATGACAGAAGAAAAGAGCTTAGACATGTTCATGAACATCTTCAAGACATTTATAAATTTATAAACATCTTCCACAATGGTTTGAGAAAAACAGGATGATCTGGGATGAGGCTTGGCTGCTACAAGCTAGCCTCTTTCAAGACAAAGAGCTTCTTGGAGAATTTGGAGGCTTTGGACCAAGAAAACCCACAAGCTGCTGCAAGCAAACACTACATAGCAACACCCAATTGATAGACGCTATTTAGAACTAGAGGCAGATTCACTTTTTTCAGGACAACATGCAATTGCGTCAGACCCTTTTGCGTGTAAATCTCTAGTGGCGTTGGGCCATTGTGCTGCCATATTTTATCCAGCCGTTGACAGGCGTTTGTGCTTGTGCTGTCTCCCTTGTGACTGGAGCCTCAGTGAGCACTGCAGTCGCTGGCTTTGTGATGCCAGAGGATGCTTCTGATTAGAAATTATTAAGATATAGATATAGAGTCGTAGCTACCCTCCATCCAACGAATCATGAACGTCCAAAAGAGCTCCGTTCCATACTGTAGAAGAAATGGTGTTTTTTTCAAGATTTTCCAATTCCAATTCGTCCACCGTGGACGAAAGCTTCGCTTGGAGGACCTTTTTTTTCGTTCGCTTCGTTGGCCAAAAGCCGAGGCCTGGGGGTGGTGTTTTGCAGCATCATGGGCGATGACGCGGAAGATACCGCCTCTTGGATTGCAGAGTCGCAGAGTGGCTCAGACATTATATCAAACAATCATCAGCGATTTGTGACTTGATTTGGGCAGTTTGGAGAGTGATTTTGGATGGCAGTTTGTGATTCTGATATGGGTGGTTTGGAGCGTTTCGAGGCCGTGATTTTGGTGGGCCTTTCCATTGGAGAGGCGGGGGATACGAACCCTGTGAGGGGCATTTGGCTGTGCGGTGGCAGAGACAGGTCGACCGAGTCGTTTTCTTCTGCACAAAAAACGCAACCTTTTTGACCCTTCACCGTCCAAAAAGCCTCCTCAGGCGATGTCAACTTATTGCCTTCCAGTTCAGGGTTCAGATATGTTCAGATACTTTATTTTCTGTGTTTCTTTTTGCATCATCTCGGACCCTGGACCTTTCGGGCCTCACCGCCCTCCATGGCCCCGGACCGATGACTCTCTTCGCCTCGCCTCCCTCCTCCCCGCCTTGCGCAAGCGTCTTGACCGAGGTGGTCTCCTACGTGGCGCTCCACACCGAAGAATCGCGGTACCTCTTCCCACGCACGGCCTTGCCCGCCTACGTGGCCCCTCGACCGACGTCGGGGAGACCGGGCCGAAGGGGCGGGGCATGGGCGCTGGAATGGAGACGGGGAGACCGGGCCGGAGTGAGGTGTTTTTTTTTGTTTTGGGATCCGATTTTGGAGAGCACTATGCAGTTGTCACTTCTTTTCCCAAAGGCGTGTCCTGAAGGCTTCTGGTTCTTTTGGTGGCGATGTTGGTTGCGATGGCCCTAATTATTTGTCAGGATTGCAACAGACACTGATTCCTTAGAATTAGTGCCAAGCATTTTGGGTTGCGAATAATTTTGGCTTGCTCTTGTCTTTCTCCAACTCACTTGACAAATTTTTCCAAGCCATTTGCCACGTGAGCTAAGCAGTTACGTTCTCCCAATCCATCCAAGTCCATGAGAATCAGCTGGGTTGAAAGAAAGTTGCTCCTTTGATGTGACCCAGCTTCTCAGGCCAACGCCTACTATGCCTATTTCCATCCCTTTGGTCTTACCTGGCTTTCTCACAGTTGCCTCTACTGCTACCAGGCACGAGCCGGGACCTTTGTTATTGCGCAGCAAAAACCCCCTCGCAGCCGGCTGTTACAGCGTTTTTGGGAGCTCCGCCGAGCCGAATTCTCTCAGTTCTCCTCTTGGACACCTCCGAGCTCCGCCGTCGTTTGTGCTTCTTCTTCGCCGTTGATGACTAACTTGTGGCCACTCACCACTCACCCAAACGGCGCGAACGAACGAACGGCGAGGCCTTCCTGTTCCTCGTGCTTTGGAGCCATTTCGAAAGCACCGTTGCACTGCTGGGCGCTCAGCACGGAACGTCGCGGCACAAACGCGTCTGCCACCGGCACACGCCCACGGGGCGCGGACGCCACACGACACGACCACCGAGGCCAAGCTATTCGTTGGATCAGCTGGTTGTTGAGGTGCCGCCGCCGTGGGCTGTTGAACGCGTCAGTCAGAGATCGTCAGCTGTTTTCCAGCGATGGGTGTTTGGGAGCTACCCGGGGGGAGGGGGGTTCGGGTCGAAGTTCTAAGCGGGGCTCCTCTTGGGTAAAAGCGGGGGTGCAAACACCGCAAAGGAACAGGGTTGTTCAAACATGTTTAAACCAAATGGTTTTATTAAATGTTTAAACCAAATGGTTTTATTAATCAAGAGTCTACTTTATGGGGCCAGGCGATGAAGGGACTCTGAATCAACCAAACAGGGGCAAGCAAACAAGATGCTGATGCCACGATGCCTGGTGGGTGGGGGCGTGGGATCTTGAGTTCCATGTCCAAAAGCTTGAGAGCTCCGCACGGACCAGTCTTTGTGGGCTGAGCATGTCCTAGTAGCTTACTTAGTTGGTCGATTCTGTGAGACAGGATGAGACAGGTGACAGGGGGGGAATTGTTCTATTCATACCCTCCGACTCACCAACCTGGAAGTCGAGTTTGGGGGCCCTCCCAAGACTCCAAGACCATGAAATCCTCTACAGACATGGGGATTTTTGACTTGCATGTGATGTGTTTGTCGGAGTGTACCCTCGTTCCAACCATTGTAGAAGTGGGCACTGGTCCTTTAGAAGCCTACTTTCCTTTATAATCTTTATAGGCCGGTCTCTTTTTCTTTCCACTTGATTGTTGGATGAAGGATGAGAAGCTCCTGGAGTGTAGGGATGATGGAAATGTGGAGTTCAGGCTTATAAGAACCACCAGCTGCCCCACCCAAACCAGGTCACAGAGAAGCAGCCACGCGGTTCATCTCCGGATCATCCGAACCAGAAGCCAAAAGCCGACGACATGTTTAGCTGGGCACCGCAGCAAGCAGAGCAGGTGAAGCTGAGACCAAGCCGCTCACAGGCACAGTCTGTGGGTGTTGTTTTTGAGTTCGTTTCTGTGGGTGTTGGGAGTTCGGCGGGTCGAACTCTTGGAATGCTTCGTTGCGCTTGTTGCAAGGCAGGGCTTCATGTCGACTTCGCTCGCTCGCTTGCACGACGTCGCGGATCGGGAAGGTCGCCAAGTTCAATCTCTCTCCCTCCGTGCAGAAGCTTCTGCTTGAGCAAGGGTCTGGCCGGCTGACTTATGAGACAGAGGTTGTGGCATCCACCAAGAATTCACAACTGGTGAACGAGAGGCTTCTGCTTCTGGGTGACAACACGCGGACGGCTCAGATAGGCATCAAATACAAGATCAGGAGAAAAGCGAGCAGAAATCACGAACTAGTACTAGTGACCTTCAACATCCTTCAACATCTATGAAAGAAAGCTAGTGTTAGACTCTTCTTTTATCCATTTGAGGACCACCATACTGACCGTGACATTTCTGATTCTGTGTCGTTCCATCCTTGTTCTTTGCGCCACACTGACCTCGCATGAGGTCTTACGAAACGGGAGTGGTGATGAGTGCAGTGATTTCAAGGGCTGTACAGAATGTCAAGGCACGGCGAATCAAAATTCCGGCGTCAAACGTTCTGATCATTCTCATTTCGATCCAAGTTATCAGACAACAGATACAGGGGTGACTGTTGTCATCCCCATATTGGAGACGAGTTATTTTCTTGACCTCATTATCCTTTCTTGTCCTCCTTTATCACATCACTCTGGAGAGTCGTCCTCGTTCTCGACTACTCAACTCGCCGCCGCGTCGGACGACGCGGCGGCGTCGGACGAAGGCGATCCGGCGGACGGACGGAGACCTCGTGGAGTCGATCACAGCAGTGTTCGCCTAGGAATCCGGGCCCTTGCTCTCTTTCCACGTGAGAAGGGGGCGAACGAACGCTTCGGGTTCTGGCAGAAACCCTCCTTCTTTCTAACTCGGTGGGTCCGAGCCAGTGCCATGGGAGGCCCGAGCTCGGATTCATTCTTCGGGTTTTGAGAAAGGAGTAGATTGAAATATGATGAAATCTTGAAAGCTACGTGGCAAAACAAACGGGACCATGTTCTGAAGTTTTGACAGCTGCCTTCCATATACATTCCAGGGATTATGCTGGATCCGTCACCATCCTGGCAAAGAGCCCAGGGTGGGAGCACTAGCCCAGGGTCTGTGGGAAGATACATAGCCGCAAGATGGTATGCCGTTGTGCGTGCTTTTGAATCTAGTTCTATCATGTTCTATCCACATCCATCATAGTCTATTCAATGGATTCATTTGGCCTTTACATGACCTTGATAGCCAAACTTCAATACACCACTTCACTTGGGGAAACACCATTTACCATGACAATCGCTTCTCATGTCTATCCATATTTTGTCATATTGTTTCAATCACCTATCCATGTCACCGTAGAGCCCCCTCCCCCCCAGGAGCCCCGGAGGTCGGGAGTCCTTGGCTCCAGGTGCCTTGCGTCCTGCGGCTCACACCCGCTGCCGGAGCAACGGATCTGCTGTTGGAAGGTGAACGACTGGAGCTGATCCACCCTGAGGCGAATTTTTCTTTGCGAGAGAGACGGTTTTTGGGACCCCGAAATGGACAAGTAGATGTAGATCTCCATTTTTTTAAAGGCACATCCATAAGTTCAGGAAATTCCAATATTCATTTCGATCATCATTTAGGAGAGATACGGGTTTATCGGAGGATTCCGATGTCAGGATGTCATAGATCCTGTTATAAAGAAACGACTGGACATAATGTGGACAACCAGATCGATCCTGTGTGATCCAGCTTAGACAGAGCTTCTCCGTCCCTGAGCACGTCCAGGCGCTTGGAGGTGGTACAGCCATACACATGTTGGTGCTTGGCCTCAAGTTCTGAACCATTTCTTTTCACCCAAAACAAACACCGTTGGATGTCGCACTGCCTGCACCACACTGCCTCCTGCCGCCCCTGGGAACCCCACTGAGTTGAATCGGGCCTTCGCGGGCGATGCCCGCTGCGCCGCGATGCTGGCGCAGCTCCTGTCGCGCATGAGGGGCGACGCGCCGCCGGACGACGCGCCGCCCGACGACGACTCGCCGGTGCCGACCCAAGAGGCGGGGGGGACAGCGGGGGGGAGGGGATGATCATGCGTAAGTCAAAACTGCAGGTGTGGAAGGTTTGTTTGGACGTGTTTGGAACTTATGGTGTTTTGCATGTTTTGGACATGCCGATTTGGAAGCAGTAAGGAAGGAGGAAGGATGAGAAAGGTATCATCTGGGTGCGATTCAAAATGAGAGGACTCCCACAACCTCCCTTTTTGTATGCAGAATTGGCAGCCTTTTCATCCCAAACCTGCCAGGTTTGGCAGACCTCTTGCGTAGTGGAAGATCCAGGTAGCATAGAAGCACTGCCGCATACCGATAGCACTGCCGCATACCGAGCTCCGGGGAGTCCTAAACACACCTCCTTCGGTGCTTCACCACTTCGGTGCTTAGCTTCGACGCGTTGCTGCCGTTGACTAGGACTCCCCCAGCTGCCAGGGCGTTAGAAGAGGGAGCCCCTGGACACATCCGGTTGTGACGTGAAGAGGCGAAGCGTTTCTTTTCCCCACAAAAGGATGAAAACTATGGGACCTCGGCCATTTCTCATGGCTGCCACGGTACTTGCCACGGTTTTGGCGCTCATGCAGCCTTCGACATGGAGCTCCAAGATCCCGGATTCACCATCCTTCGCCCCGTTTCGACCTTCTCGTCACCTGTTTCGACACCTCCTTCCTCACGGCCGAGGCGAGCTCCGCGGAATCTGGGCGTGGAGGCTGGCGGAGGCCAGCGCACCTCCCGGAGAGCCCGCTCCCCCCAGGCAGCCGAGGCCGGCGGGCGATGAACGTGGTGGCACGTGGCTAGTTGTGGCCCGTTGTGTAACACCCTGTTGAGGTAGTGGTGGCCCGAGGACTGATCCAACCACGGAAGCCAAGTGGCGCTTCAAATGAGTATACATCTGAAGGAAGACAGGAAGACATGGACAATGCCCCGCAGCAGGCCACATGCAAGGAAATCAGCATGGCGGCAATCGAAGCCACAATGCGATCGAAGCACTAAGCACTTAGCCTTGTTAAGCTTAAGACAAACAACAACCTCACCATTCATGCGGGCTTCATCTACTTCTAATCTCAAGGTGGTGTTGACCAAGGATGCCTATTTTTTGATAGCACCGCATAGGTTGCAAGGCAAAATCTGTTGTCACCAAGTCTGCAAGTGCCTGAATCTTAGCCCTGTGTAACTAAGGAGCAAAACGGGGAGTAAGGTTGTCAAGCGTTTTTGCATAGGCAATGGATCGCCATTCTTGTTGACCGTTTGCTTTGCTCGGACCATGACTTCAAGAGTGGCTACGAAGTTCCTCAAAGCTGAACAGACCAGAATCATCCCAGACGACGGGGAGTCCGACAGACAGGGCACCCCAGGGCACCGGAAGTGGGACAGGAACCTGGCGATTGGGACGAACCAACAACTGCTCAGGGCACACCCAGAAGATGATGGAGGCGCTGAGAGATCCGGATTGAGAAGGCCGGAGACGGATCGGCCGCGCGCGTGCCTTGCGGTCCGCTGGCTCAGTGGCTGGCTCATGCGGAGAGGGATTTGGATTGATTTGAATGCAGCGAACTTCAGCAAGTGGCCCCCCCAGGTCCATGTTGGCTATTCACTGTTGCTTCTGACATGCCAAAGAATAGGAAGCAGAGAGCACAAGTTCTGATGAGTTCTGCAATGCAGCTCGATGTGACCTTATCACCTAGCTACCTCACTAAGCTCGCCTCGCAGGAGGGACCCACTCCGAACGCCCGTGCGGGGAGTGACCATGGGAATCCCCCCGAAAAAAACACCGCGTCTTCTGCGGCTCGCCAGGCCGACGACGAAGTGCGGCCACTCCGCCCGGGCCGATCCGACGAAAAAGCGCGGCAGATCCGTCGCGGGTTCCGTCGACGGTCGCGGCGATTGGTCGACGGTCCTCGCTGTTCTCGTGCGGATCGGGCGGATCGCCCGGGCGCCGTGCTGTGGCAGCGACCGATCCTCAGCATGACCGGCCTTCACGTGGTTTCGCCGTGGCGAACTCTTCGTGCGCGTCGCACGTGTCCCGCTCGAAGCTGCGGGGCTCGAACCTGCAGGGGCGCCGGCACGTGGCAGTGTGGCGTAGGAGTGGGGGACGTGCATGGGAGTGCGTTGCAGGACCCTTTGCACTGGAAGAACAGCTTGACTTTGCCCCCACAACCTGAGAGCCATGGAGATCTTCCCAACAGGCGTGGAGGGCCTGACTCAATGCAGACGGTTCAACCCCCCATATGAGCATACGAAGAGGTTTTGCATTGTGCGTGTGTCTCGAAGGGGTAAAAGACAACATTAAGATGCCATTAAGGGTTGATTCAGGATGGAATATGGGAGGTTTGACTCATTGTAGGTTGGGGACCCCGCAACTTTTGGGTGAAGCATCGTGGTGACCCAAAAGAGTTATTCAAAAGACTCTGTCCCTGGTAATCCCATCTTGAGAGTTCTCATCCATGATCATGTGCATAGTTATGATTCTTTTGCCACGCTCATGCCAGAGTTTTTCAGCTGAGAACATGTGGTGAGTGAGCCTCAAAAACATCTCTGCCCTTCTTTCAGGGAGCCCGAAGACAGTTCGAGAATCGGGGCTCGGCCCCAAGGCGTGCGTTCGGCCGTGGCGGGGCCCTTCAACGGAATGAACGTGATGACTGACGGATGCTTACTAGAGAATAATGGCATACTATATCATAGATACCTTAGTTATCCTTATAGTGTATATACCCTCTAATATTAGATGCCTTAGTTACGCGTCGCACCAGTCACAAGAGGATCCATGAGTTCACGTGGGGCGAGTCGTTGCGGGGTGAGATCCGACCCGTCAGGCGAGGCATGGTCGGCTTCCGTTGGTCGGCTTGGCCCGTGAGGTCATTGAAAAAGGAACTGGACTGCAGAAACTGGTCGTCAGAAACGACACATCATAGAAGAAGGACACATAAAACCATTTTTCATGTTAACCCATAACAAGTACAGTTTTCCCAGTCGTATTCAGTTCCTTTTTCCCAAGAACCGGTCCGCACCCTCCGCCTTGGCCGAACCGCCGCCCCCCTCGGTGGCGGAACCCGCACAAACGATGCCCGAGTTCTGGGACCTGCAAACCTCGCGGATGCCCACGCCGCAGCCCTGGGACGAGTCGCGCGCGAGGCGCGGGATGGGCGGGGCGACCCGCTGCGCGCGGTGCGGTGTGCGCGGGTGGTCGAGCTCTTGAGGGTTCCGTGGGTGTCGAGTGAGACGGATGGGGGGCGGATGGGGGGCGGAAGGGGACGGAGGGCTGTGACGGAGCTGGGGAGATCCGGAGGGAGTTTCAGTTGCCTTCTGTTTGGGTGAGTGTGAGATGAAGATGTGAGTGTTAGCTTCGAGTTCTTTTTTGGTTTTGGAGGTTGTGAAGCATACTGAAACCAATTCAAACCTTCTCAGACTCAGTTCCAAGACTTTTCGAAAGGCCAAGCAGCCAAGCCCTATATCTTCGCCAGCCATTCCTCGTGTCTGGTGCTTGTGCCACATCCTCGCGTGCAGGAGTGCCACACCCTCTGCATGCATCCATGTCTCGATCTTAGCATCGGAAGTAGCAACGTTCGGGCTCGACACCTGGTGCGACGTCGCACGCGGACTCTCCGGCTTTCTCTCTCTCGGACGGTTCGGCGTGGCCTGATAAAAACAAGAGGCGAAGGGCTGGTTCTTCCAAGCGACCGAACTGGATCTCCTGATATCACCTGGTTGGTTCGGTGACGAAAAAGGGTTCGGACAGGCCAACAAAGTCGGGGGGGGGGTCTCCCGAAAAAGCTCACGGTTCGTGAAGAGCTGAGGGGTCGAGTCCGTATCGTTTTCTTCTGAGAAAACGGCGCGGGAGAGTGACCATCTCCTCATTGAAGACCATCAACAAAACGTGGGAAGGACATCCTGGTCACCTTTTGGCTTATAGAATGGGAGGGGTCAACCCCTCCCATAAAACGATTGATACCAGGGGGTAGTAGTTAAATTCCTTATGGAAGGACCTGGTTTTGTAGTGTAAAATCCTTACAGTATTAGTAATGGTGGTTCGGTAAAGCCTAGGCTATAGGGCGAACCCATGTAGTTCCTCATTTGGAGCCTCGTATTTTCGCGCATAGCTAGTCAGGTATTTCTCTCAAGAAAGAGGTCGACCCCCAAGACATCCTCAAACCAAAAGAAGCACAAATCTATATACCAGCAATCACAAAGGGGTGCCTGTTGGAGGATAGGGGTGCCCAGCTACTCCACTCACATAGGGACTATAAAC